CAAAACCACAAATCGGAGGAGAAGCTCGGCCAAAAATCCTTTCAGCGGAGATGAAGCGGCGTGTAATATATGTTTATATATACAAATATATTTGTGTATTATATAAATTTTTTTAATTCATAAGAATTTTTTCAAAGCATTTTTTCACATTAAATAAGGAGTTGTGTAATATTTCTTATTCATATTCGTAGTTTTTTCTCATTGACCTTTTCTACTCTCAGTAAACTGTTACCCTTTTGGGTTAGTGGTCCAAAAATTTGCCCGCCACAAATCAACTTTGTCGTAAAAATCGTATAAAATCAAAAAATTCTCGCGTCAGTCGGGTCTTCATGCCGGAACAACTCGGATTTATTTCCGTTCAGAGACTTTCGCTCTCGCAAAAATAATAATAATAAAAACAATAACAACAACAGCAACAACATTATCAATAATCGGTTGTTGTCGGCAATGAGGTAGTTCGTCCTTTATTCTTTCTACGACCCTTCGATTAATGAAAAAGAGAGATCGTCATTCCGGTCGTGCTCGGCAAAAAGCGCTGTAACTTCCACGGACAGTCTGCATAACCTTTCTTACTCCTCCGTCAAAATTCTGATCAGAAGTTAGTAATCTAAATTTTCACTTCAACTATGAACTTCTCTTGCTAGAGTCGAAGAGCAAATATTAAGGCCCCAAACCAACGACAAGGTGTCTATAATAGTGTCTTAATGTGTCTAGTACTGAAAGAGAACTAGGGGAAATATCTACAACCAATAAATAAACAATTAGTCTACTCGCGTCTTTACACCTGCGTTTGCCTTGACCGTGGTCCCTTCATATTATTCCCATTTTATTTTATTTTATTTTATTTTATTTTATTTTATTTTATTTTATTTNCAGTTTCGAGCTGTTCTCGACTAAGACTCGTATCCTCCCATAGTGAACCATTTTTTTTTTTTAATTTTGGGTTAGAGAATATGAAAGAGAACAGACGACAATTCGTTGAACATGAAACACAAAACACAAAACACAAAACATAAAGATGCTAAACTAACACGAATACATGATAATAACACATCTCAATAAGCAGGATAATATGCTCATAAAAGCATTCAAGCAATTTCGGTCAAATTCATCTACTATGTTACACACTTACATACATACACATGGTTGAGTCATAAATCAGGTATTTATGAGCATATCAATAATGGTTGAGAGACGATAAAAATGAAATAATCACATGACAGCAATTGGTAATGTAAACATTGGCTATCACATAGAACATATTGTATGTATGTACATATGTGTTTCAATAACTACTTGTTGTAGCAGAAAGAAAAGTACATAAAAAGGTGAAAGGGAATTTGAAAATAAAACGAATAGCGCATTAACTGCAAAGAAAGAAAGAAGTGCAGAACAAACAACTGTTAAATGAACTAAAATGAAATTACTAAAATTGATAGAATATTTTAGTTTAGCTTTGAAGAGTTTCAAAGAAGAACTCTAAAACTAACACTGCATTGCATTTGAGTTGCGTTGAAGTCACTTTGGTATTATTTTTGAGTGTCTGTAGTGTCTATTTGGGTGTATATGTATACATACATATGTACATATATATCTATAGGAAACAAATTCTCATTAGGGTGGATCGAAATTACATGAAAATTTCAAGTTTTTTGCGGTCTGGTGCATCTAACTTACATATAAGTAAAAAATAAAAAATACGAATATATATGAGAGGGAAATGTGAAAGCTTTTGCTTGTTTGAAATTTATCAGACTTTCATTTTTTTAGGATTTAAAAAATTGTTTAATTAATTTATCAGGAGTACAACTTTGCTTCCGCCGTTTTTTTTCCAAAATTAAAAGCTTTATTGCGAAAAAGTGCTTATCATATTATTATATTATATTTATATTATTCAAAGTATTGTCCTTCGCTAGCGACAACTTTCTCCCATCTTTCCTGCAATTTTTGGATCCCGGCTCGAAAAAAGGAGTCCTCTTTTGAGGCTATCCATGAAGCAATCCATTTTTTCAATTCTTCGAAGGATTGAAAATGTTGATCTGCCAGGCCGTGTGCCATCGAACGGAATAGGTGGAAGTCAGAAGGGGCGACATCAGTGGAAATACGGCGGGTGGGGCAAGTCTTCCCATTTCTGCGTTTCCAGGTACTGTTTGACCACTTTTGCGACGTGTGTCTTGATATTGTGGCCGCTTTTCTTTTGCCTCGCGACTAAGGCGCATCAGTTGCATTCGGTAGCGATCTCCTGTGATGGTTTCACCCGGTTTTAAGAGCTCGTAGTAAATCACACCGAGCTGATCCCACCAAATACAAATCATAACCATGTTTGTCTTCGACATCGAAATCACCATTTTTAAAACGTTGAAACCACTCCCGACACGTTGTCCTATGTGAACTCATGTTTTTTGAAATGAATATAAAGCAGAATTTATATTGAGTTGAAAGTCATTTATTTACGATTTGTCTAACTTCCGGCTCATATCGAAAGGCAGCACGTTCGATATTCAAAGGAGGCAATCTTTGTTGTTGCTGACATTGTTGTTAAGCAGTCAAACGTTATTCTCTTGCTTCATGAATTTCCTGAGTACGAATTTGTTTTCTTCTCAATCGTTGTTGCTCATTGTAAGCTTCGTGAGCCTCTTGTGAATGTCGCGCAGGATTTTCAATCATTCCGAATAGAGCAGATTCCCTTGCAGTAGCATTTTGCTCTTCCATATGACGTATGTATAATTGCGTTGGTCCATTGTACGGCGGGATACCCGACCGATCGATATTAGCGCGACCTCATCGTGGCTACGTAACAAATTTCAATCTGTAATTGATCGCTTTGTATGAAATAAAGTCTTCATTGAATAACTGAAAATGTTTCCATAATTTATCTTTTCAATAGCCGAAATAAAGAATGCAAACGACCAAAATTGACCAATTCAATTAATTTACAAATCAGCTGAAGAACTAACTTCTTCTGCAACAAACGAAAACAGTTCGAGTAAACAAATCAGAAAGAAAACGTACTTTTTTTTATATAAAATAGATTTGAAAAAACAAATTAAAAAAATATAAAAAAAACGTGCTTGACAAAAATCGCTTTTTGTAATTTTTCCGATCTTTCCTCAGGAAAATTATAAAGAGTTTTTATTTCCGAACCTTCCCAGATCTACAACGATCAACCTCTGAAAATTTCAAGATTGGTTCAACCGTTTTGAGCTTTATTTTTGTATATTAAGATGTATGTATGTATGTATACAGTTGTCAGTAGACCAACACTTAGAAAACGGAGGGCTGGTTTGGATTTCAGTATAACCAAAATAAAAAAATATCAGAAAATTAAAGGGAATACTGAGAGCAGCATGTGCAGAAGTAATCGGTCGAGCTATCTTCCAATCCGCTACCTCTGAATTTGATATCACTGCATAATTTCTAGCGCTGTGTAAACCGACGTCAAGCAATACGAGAAGCGCTTAATGGGAAGATCCTCTCCAAGCAGATCGATACCTTCTCGAGACTAGATGAAGAAGTGAAACGTTTGAGTCTGGTAATGAACGATAACAAGACGAAATACCTCCTGTCCTCAAACAAACAGTTATCACATTCGCTACTCGGCTCTCGTGTCACTGTTGACAGACAAAACTTTTAAATCATAGACAATTTCCTCTATCTTGGAACCAGCATTAACACCAATAACAGTGGGGAGAAAGAACAGCGACTCTGATCTCTCATGGCATATATAAGGTCAGAGTAATCCCGCAACTGGGTACATTGAGGTGCTAGCTCAGCACTCGCTGAGTTTATACAAGCACCTATCCAGACAAAGGTGCGCAAATTTTCGCTTTGCTTGCAGTTTCGAGCTGTTCTCGACTAAGACTCGTATCCTCCCATATGGTATTAATTCTGAATTCAGTCCAGATCATAGATAATGAGGACAAACAAACTAAGCCCAAGGCCGATTGGCTATTTGAATAAAACTTAGTCTGTCACACAGAAACGGCATTGTAGTGGTGTGTCCACCATTTCCTTGATAATAGCTACTTTCGCCTGAAAAACACTACAAGCATTTGTACGTCTAAACCTTCTACCGATGATGGATGATTTCTTCGAACAATCCCCGAAGAAGTTAAGGTCTCATTACCTCCAGTTGATCTGTCTGCTACCAGCTTCACGTTAAGCGATGATGATGGAGAAGGACCAACCGGCCGCCAATAGAGAGATATAGTTATCCAAGCCACTGGGGTGACTCTTAGCAGCAACAGCGTACTCCACGCTTGATTCGACCAGTGATTCAGACTATTTTAGTCTTACAGAGACTTCGGGACTTTTGCAGTTATACCACGGGCACTATAGCGTGCAACGAACGGCCACTAGTGTAGGTTATACCTTTTTCAAATTAAAGAAATAATTTATGAATTTTAAGGTTTAAAATTAAAAAAATCATGCACTTCACAAACTTTTAGAGCAACCCTCGTACACACATGTGAGACCAAACGCAATTCGATTATTTCTTCTTATTGTTTGCACAAGTACGAGAGCTATTACTTACTTCTTAGTAGCTGTAGCAATTTCAATAGTCGGGCACAAATATGTTCAGCTGACTTTTGTAAATAATACAAACACATACACCTGCATACAAAGGTAAACAAGCATATATAACAGCCTGCAAGGGGATGACCTTCTTTTGGGCTACACTCACCCTCGGCAATTCCTTCTAGAAAATGTACACATACGTGTACATACAAACATATATGCGTATATATCTTTAAGTACATATGTATGAGTGCTCTCAATGAATTTATGTACATAAAGAATTTCTGCGTGTGTCTGTACAAATACTTTTATATATATATATGCTTGGCGCACAAACATACATAACTAATCGTAGTATGAGCACATTTTACTAAACATACTCCCATACATATTATTATTATTATTATTATTATAAGATAATATTTGTTGCGTACAGCAAAAACAACACATCCATGAGTAACATATATATATATATATAAATGCGAAAAAGGTCAAAGATATTCGTACAGAAAACTGTTAAAAGCAATGATAACGGTGCATGCAGTGAGTGTAAAAACAAATAATAACAATAATAAAGAATTCATACAACAACAACTGCTACTGCTGACGACCAAGTACGTGTGTGTTGAAATTTCAGAGCCAAAACAAACGGATCGAAAGTTGTGTGAGTGTGGCGTAAAACAAAGCAAAAATAAACCAAATTCGGTGAAAGGTAAATTCAAACAAAAAATTATTTGTGCATATTTTATTGAAAATATTTGAGTATTATGTATGTGAGTACATGAAAAATCATTTAAAATTTAAATTAAAACTTTTTTGCATGAAGGTGAAGAACACACAAGAGCATGAGGGAAAAACTGCTGAGTGTGTATAAAAATAATGTAAAGGTTTTGTGGACACTGTAGCTACATTATCGTACATGTACATTAATATATTAACTACTATAATTGGCACTTTGTACCCGCAAAAGCTTTTTTTGGCCGAGCTCCTCCGCCAATTTATGATGTGCGTTTGTTGGTTTTCCAACAAACGAAGGGACTTACACTTTATTTTGACAGACTTTTATGAGAAGCTTTTCTTTTCATGTCAGAAATACACTCGGAGGGCTTAACAATCCCTGCCGGGGAGCAATCGCAAAAAGAAAATTTAACTTAATTTTTGATTAAAACTCATTTCTATAACTTTTGGATGTTGGTCGGACCAAGACCGCCAGGGCGTATGAGTAACATTTAAACTTCATTTTTATATATTACAAATATATCATTTTACCTAAATTTAATTGTTGTGATGGACACATCTTTGTTATCTTTTCAGTTTGAATATTTGATATTTTTATGCCATTCATGATCAGAATGACGGGTTGAGTTGATCGAGCCACATCCGACTGATTGGTCTGTTTGTAAGAAACTAATCCCTCCAGTTTTGAGATATGTCAATCAAACTTGGTATGCAAATGCGGTTTTATATATAAACAATCATATCAGAAATCATTGAAATCGGACGACTGCATCATTTAGATCCCATGCAACTGCTAAGAGGTTTTTGGTCAAAAATCCCTCAGTAGAGCATCTGAGAGCGAGAAATGCGATATTCTACAGACGTATATACAAATAAACACTAACACCGAAATCAAAAAAAAATTTTCATATAGCACCCACCAAATTTATTTTATTTTCTTTTTAATTCTGTTTTGTTTTGTTTTGTTTTATATAATTTTCTATTCTTTTTTATTTTATTTTGCTTTATTTTTCTATTTTATTTTTATTTTTCTTTGCGTTCTGTTTTATTTTATTTTTATTTTATTTTATTTTATTTTATTTTATTTTATTTTATTTTATTTTATTTTATTTTATTTTATTTTATTTTATTTTATTTTATAATATTTTATTTAATATAATTTAATTTAATTTTATTTTAATATATTTTATTTTTATGTTTCTTTGTGTTCTGTTTTGTTTTGTTTTATTTTATTTTATTTTATTTATTTTGCATTATTTTCTTTTATTTCTAAATATATTATTTTATTATATTTCTCTCTAATTCATTTTATTTTGATATTTTTCATTATTCAGTATTCAACTCGCCTTCGCCCGATCGAAGATCAGAAAATTATAATCCGTTGTACATTCAGCAAGTTACCTAAACTCTTTTCACTAAGGCATAAATCCTTTTCCACTTCCACAACATTTTCACCACAATTTTCCGGAGTTACCTTTCAATTGACCAATTAAAATTCCATTTCGTTATTTTACACCTTTTTAAATTCTTATTATATGCGTATAAATAAAATATGTATGTTTTATAAATATTTACGTACGTATGCACCCATACAAAAATAAGGAAGAAAAACTTTCTGCATATCGAACCTGAAATTTGTTGAGAACAAGCATAAAATGTGGCATAAATAATGGAAGGAGAAAATTGCGAACTTCCGGCAACCTTTTGCATACAAAATATGTATTGGTGTGTATACCATTATACCATTACCGTTGACCGCAAAGATTCCAAGTTGATTATGAAGGTAGATAGTGTCAGCAATGCCTTGTAGGAAAAGTAGCCGTTTCTGAGTTAACTTAATTTGCTTTACTCGATGTAATTGCATAGATTTAATTTTTCAGCAAAAGTTTTTGTTTTCAATATTTTGACACTATTTTTCTATTTCTTTTGAAAGAACTTAACATGTTTAAAAAAATAGCTAAGAAATCAATTTCCTATGGGCTCCTGCGAAGGTCGAAATTTACTTGGTGTGCAGGAATGCGCACAAACACTCAAAAGTCAATGCTGCCAAAGAAGTTGTGAAAATGAAAACTTGAGCGAAAAGCAACCACAACCGCAACAAAAATAACGAGAGCCGAAGCAGCGAAAACACAGCCAGAGAGAGTTTGCAAAAAAAAACCATAAATGCTGAGAGCTAAGACTTTTATAACCTCAAAAGCATAATTGGTATAAAACTTCATTAAACAATCATACAGTGGAAGGGTATTCCCCTGTGAAATTTTTCTACTTTCTGGCATTTAAAATTTGAAGACAAACCGTTCATATTGAAGTAGAACTATTGGAAAGCAAAGTACTTAAGAATTGTTGTTATCTACAAAAAGGTGTCTTATGGCAACCAGCTCTTAGCTCACTACTGCTTATTATAAACCAATTCATGCATGCATATGAAAAGATACGGCAACTAATAGAAGTTTTCATGACCGGAACATAAGGATGTAGGGACCAATGAGGTAATCTGGTAACCGATGTCCAGAAGATACTTGGCGTAGGGAGGGACGACCTTTTCAACATGTTGCAAAATGGAATACACGGAGGAGACGAACCCATCGATTATGATAGAAAAGGCGTTGCATTAGCCGACTATGATGAGGTTCAAAGAGCGCTCGCCCGCTCATTCAGAATTGGGAAGGACTTTTCCGAACCGTTCGATTACCAATGAGCTTTCAGATAGGGTGACACTTTATCGTGTGATTTCTGTGATTATTTTACAAGAGTGTACAGCTGCTTGCGTACGCCGAAGTACGTACGTGAGTTCTGCCTTCTCCAAGCTTGACAGAAAAGCGAATCGAACGGGTCTGGTACCTAACGAGGACAAACTGACATTCATAACTTTGGGGCCATAGATAATTTAATCTATATAGGACCAGCATTAACACTTAAAATTATGTCAGCCTTGAAATACAACGCAGAATCATTCTTGGCAACAGCTGCTACTTTAGACTGCGCAAGCAATTGAGTAGTAGAGCCTTCTCTCGACGAACCAAACCTAAGCTTCTATGAATTTCTCCTGCTATACGGAGCAGAAGCCTAGATGATATCAACATCCCTTGAGTCATCAGCAGCTTTGGTAAACCGCTTTGCAAAAGATTTATGGTCTTCTGTACTTTGGCAAAGAAGAAAACCGCAGTCGGTGGAACGATGAGTTGTACGAATTATACTGTAACATTGATATAGTGGCTCCGATAGAAGTCTCGGGTGAAGAGCGATCTGGTTACTCTTGGTATTACCAATTGACGCCAAGCAATCAAGGGAAGCATAGAATGGCGTGCTATATTTGTTTCGGCTATAATCGTCTATTCCAATGGAGAAGAAGGCGAATGTTTAATTTACTATTATCAAATATTTATATACATATATATATATATGTATATAAAAGCACACTTGACCCCTAAACGCATATTAATCTGCAATTTTCGCTACACACAAAATAGATATTATATTTTCGAGTGCGTTTTACTCTTGCATTCCACACTCACAATAGTTGTGAAATATAAATGGTGGTCGATATAAAAAAACAAAATACATGAAGTTACGCTCGTTTGTTTTATGAGTCCTCTGACATTCAAAAATATAATATTTTGCAGCTTCTTAAAGCTTCTAAAAATTTTCCCTCAAATTCATTTATATTCCGTTGTTGTTTATTTTTCACTCATTTAGCCATTGTCTTCTTCTCGGTAAAACATGAAGATATATAAGCACTGTTGTTGTGTTTTATATAATATATTTCTATATATTTAACTACAAAGTAAATATTTGAAAAAAAAATTATTTCTGTCTGTCTGCTGAAGAGATGAATTCTTCATTGTCCATGAGAAAATGTTAAATTTGTGACAAAATTAAGAGAATTTAACCAAGCACTTAAGCTATACTTACTTCTTTCTTCCGTAATATAAATAAATAGCAGTAAATGTGATACCGTTGCGAGCATCTCACATTTTACGTCTTGCAAAAGTACTATACTCTCAGTTACTTTGTTTGTATTTATTTACATTCCTTTATATCTGCTTTCTTTACTTTGAAAGGATATCCTTCAACTGTCACTAAAAGCTACTTAGTTTGCAATACAAGAGAAGCGGATACATAAAATAGTATCTAATATGGGAAATTTCCTACGCAACTCTACCGTAAAATATGCCAAACATAAATAAAGAAATGAATAATGTTAACAAGTAGAGCAGCACAACAACAACTAGAAAATGGCATGTTTATAACTAAGGTCAATGAACCTTTTACACAAACAACAGTCATTGTTTAACACATTTTAGTAACTTTAAATGGTTGTGTCAATATGCTTAGCCATTTTATTGCTGATAAATTACAGCAAAAATATGAAAAGTGTTAGCGGAAACTTTCTGTATTTTTGAAGGCATCAAATATTATTTTCTTGAGCTCAATGATTGTAAACAGCAAATAATATAAAATATAAAATATAAAATATTAAATATAAAATATAAAATATAAAATATAAAATATAAAATATAAAATATAAAATATAAAATATAAAATATAAAATATAAAATATAAAATATAAAATATAAAATATAAAATATAAAATATAAAATAAAATAAAAGATATCGATTCCTCTCAGAGTCATGTTATCAAAACAAAATTAGTTGTTAATATTAAAATCGCACAAACTCATTGGTAACGTTAATTTTAAAATGACCGTTTGCTATGATATTTACAGCACAATTCCATGTTAACATTTAACATTATCTGTAAGCGATTTAACATTAACGGCAGCGTATCTCTTCGTCTTATTTGCAAAGCTGCTAATAACATAACATTTCCACATGTTTCAATCGAATCGATGGGGATTTTTTTTTTTTTTTTTGACTTGAAATTTATCAGCATTGGTAACAATTTATTTCTTGAATAGTGAATTTTAAATTATTTTCCCTGTTAAACGATGCAAGAAACAACTAACTTGGCCACACTTGACTTTTAAGAACTGCGTCATATACACAAGTAATAACTAACCTAGCAAACTTTCTACACTGTTCTTTTTCACTTTTCAATCGTTTTTTTTTATTATTACTGTTATTTGCTCTCAAAAGAAATTTACACCTTACTACTTAACTATTGAATAACTAGCACTAATTGTAGTTACAAAAAAAAAAAACTATTATAAAATCTAAAAATAAATAAAATTAAATAAATGGAAACTGAAAAATCCACAAAGAACCACACCCTGTACAAACCCTTTCTTTGTCAAAAAGAATTGCAAAGCTAAAGCAAATAGTTCTAAAACTTCTAATTATAGGAAAAACTAAAACAAACGTGAATAGAAAAATAAAAAATGTATGAAAATATATTTTTCAACACATTCGCCATATTGTAAATCACATACAAATACATACATACATATATAATCACCGCATTGATTAATGCATAAATTCATAGATATAAAAATTTATAATAAATAACTGTACATAGTACTTCCTGACGAGACATAGTTAACGTTACATACCTAATTAAAAAAAAAAAAAAAGTTAGTGGATCATTTAATTTAATTACTCATACATACACGTATGGTAAGTGTAGCTAACAAGCAAGCATTATTTGCAGGTATGTGAACTTGTATATAAATTGTAATGTATGTTTGCCATGTGTATATGTTTTAAGTAAAAAATATTTAAATTTAAGTATTGTTGGAATTAAATTGTAGGATTTCGTTAAGAGCTCCATCAATTAAATTGTTGTTTTAATAAATTTTTTATATTTAAGGTGAATTAAATTCGAATTTCACCGAACGCCAGTACTAAGCATTTGTATATAACGTACATACACGTACGTATGTATGTATATTTATTTTATATTAAAAAAAATTATAATTTTTTATTATAAATGCATAAAATGGTTTATCTTAAAAATGGCAATAAAGAAATATTTCTTTTTAAATATATTTTTTTAAAGTAAGTTTAAATAATATAAAACAAAAAAAATTGAATAAAAAGTAAAATAAAAAATTATTTATAAGTAAATTAATATTTGGAAAATTTGCAATTGTAAAACATGTTATAATAATAGTCTAACAATTGAAAAAATTTCCAATTTTTATATTTTTAAAAAATTTATATTAACTTTTTGAATGCAACGTAAAAGAAAATAAATCAATTTGCACACATTTTTCACTTTTTTAATTGAACAGCAAAGATAGCTGTTAATTTTTTAAATAAAGTACGCAAGTTATATTATAAATAATATGAAGAATTATAAAACAATTAAAATTTTGAACCAAAAAATCAATCAGCGCCAATGAAACAAAAATTATTTAGAAAAAAAATTATCCATAAAAAAATATTATTGCTTGAACAGACCCAAAATATAATTTTTTCGGTATATAAATATATATTAGAGCTCCAGATACCCGGGTAGCGAGCATTGTTAGCAACTCGATACTTGCTCGATACTCGTTCCTTGCTCAACTGCTCAAATAATCTGTCAAAATTTCTTTCGTATTTCAATGAGTTTCGAGCACTCGTTGCTCAAATG